CCTGGACACGCCCACTACCTGTCACCTCACCTGGACACGCCCACTCCCTGTCACCTCCCCTGGACACACCCACTCCCTTTAACACGGAATTATTTACATTTTTCCACTACATTCAAATCATTTAAATAAAAATAATTTGATCATTAATGATGTTGTGATTTAAACCTAATTTGTATTAAATAATATTAATTAATCTGAAGTTAGGTCTGAATCTTYAAATTAAGATTTAAAATTATTTTTATTAGAAATAAACTCATTTAAAGTTTGGGATTTTCAGAAGATGTACATCAATTTTAAATTTTTATTTTTCTAATTTTAGTTTTTAGTCTGTATTTAATGTATTAATGATTCAARTTATATTCTGCCATTGATCTTTGCATAAATACAAACATTAAGTTCATTAAAATATAAAGTGGGTAAATGAATGAATTTMATGAGGAAGATTCTGAGTTCATCTTTTAGCACAGTTCATGTTGTTGTTAGCTTGTTCAGTATAAATCTGGTTTCTGATTTTAAACAATTKAGAAAATATTTTCTTTAAATTAATAGTCCCACAGTTCCTGTGCAGATATAACCTGAAACAGCTCAGACCTGTTTCCTCAGATCAAGCCTGCRGAACAGGACCTGAACCACAAGCAGCTTTCTGTAAAAAGACTTCCTGCTGCTCAGAACCAACCTGTCAGATCCTGGAGACATCTGGATCAGTACTGCTGATACCTCTGGTACTAATGCTAATGATCATTAGCATTAGTACCAGAGGCTAATGATCATTAGCATTAGTACCAGAGGCTAATGATCATTAGCATTAGTACCAGAGGCTAACGATCATTAGCATTAGTACCAGAGGCTAATGATCATTAGCATTAGTACCAGAGGCTAAAGAGCATTAGCTCTGACGCTGCTGGGACCAGTTAGCAGCACAAACTCAGATCAAGCTAAACTTGAAGGCAACAATCACAGAAGTCCTGTTGAAAGATAAAAGATGGCGGCTGACAGGATCAGTTTGGAGTTATTTAATGAATCTTGTATGGAGGGACGTTAACAGCAGATCATCACATCCTGACAGAAGCCCTTCACCAAGAGGCAGAGCTGAAAACCTGAGGAGGGAGGGGCTGGGGGCATTTGTTCAGGAACAAAAACTAATTMAAAAATAAATCATAATTCATAAAAAAATAAAAATATCAGAGGGGCATCCGGTTGCCTTCCACACTAATCTTCACAGCGTGACCCGTCTTCGTCAACCGGCGGATGTCAGCAAATCTACGCATCTGTTTATCGACCCGGGACAAACCCTTCTTCATGGGACCCTGCAGAGGAAAACACACCAAACAGAAGCTTTAAACACTGGAGAACCTGCAGGAGCACTCAGGTCACTGATATTTATTACTATAATATGTCATTTATATCAATGGTTCAGGTCAGGAGTCAGTGCACAACACAAGCTGTTAGTTTCCTCCATGCAGGACAGTCACAGCAGAAACATCAAGCTTCTATTAACCCTGCCAAGATGGCCGACCAGTTCCTATTTAACCCTGCCAAGATGGCCGACCAGTTCCTATTTACCCTGCCAAGATGGCCGACCAGGATCCAGTTCCTATTAAACCCTGCCAAGATGGCCGACCAGTTCCTATTAACCCTGCCAAGATGGCCGACCAGGATCCAGTTCCTATTAAACCCTGCCAAGATGGCCGACCAGTTCCTATTAACCCTGCCAAGATGGCCGACCAGGATCCAGTTCCTATTAACCCTGCCAAGATGGCTGACCAGGATCCGGTTCCTATTAAACCCTGCCAAGATGGCCGACTTTATCAGATCCAGTTTAGTGTGGTAGTAGCCGAGCCACTGAGGACTGACTGACTCGAGCCCTGACCTGGAAGGTGGGAGTCGTGTTCATGCCAGGATTGATAAGATTTTATTTTTATTTTCAGGACGTTTGAAATGTTTGATGTCTCTGAACTGACCTGAGAGACACCAGGTGATGTCAGGTGACCTGACAGGTGACAGGTCAAAGTAACGACTTGTTTTGTTGTTATAGAAGCAGACAGTAAACTCTGCAGACCTCCTCACACCATGCAGGCAGATGGACTCACTGCCCCCTGCAGGCCAGCAGCAGGAACTACAGCGGCATCCTGTTCCCCTCTATGCTGATCTTCACGGCGCCCTGGGGCCGGTGCATCTTCCTCCGCTCCGCGAAGCGCCGCTTGTGCTTCTCCAGCAGGCCAATGGCCTTCTTACAGCCACTCTACAGAGGACCAATCACAGCTCAGCTCACCTGAGCTCAGACACCTGCTGCTGCACTACATTCACTGCTTGGTTTCCTGGGCTGAGAGGACACCTGAACCTTTGACCAGAGGAATTATGGGTAATTTGTTGTTACCCACCTGAAGAGCTACCTGTCAAAGTCTAGATTTGAACCCTACAAAATAAAACTGTTGAAGTCAGAGTTTAGACCCATTTGATCTGATCAAAATACTGTCTTTGACTGTTTAACTACTTTAAACCAGTTTAAATCATTTACAACCAGGGTTTACAGAGTGTACATGAACGCACCATGAAGTGCAGGGTTTACAGAGTGTACATGAACGCACCATGAAGTGCAGAGTTTACAGAGTGTATTTGAACGCACCATGAAGTGCAGAGTTTACAGAGTGTACATGAACGCACCATGAAGTGCAGGGTTTACAGAGTGTATTTGAACGCACCATGAAGTGCAGGGTTTACAGAGTGTATTTGAACGCACCATGAAGAGTGTATTTGAACGCACCATGAAGTGCAGAGCTTTTGAAAACATTTAAACTTGGACAGAACTGTCCTCACACTCACCCGGCTCGAGTCCCCCTCCACGTTCCATTTGGGCCGGACCACGTAGTCTTTGTTGGAGGGCATAGGGACCCGGGCCCTCGCACAGAACCCAGGGTCACCGGGTCTCAGAGCTCTGCAAGAAGATAGGACGACTGCAGTTATTACTGATGGAGAGTTGAAACTTCAACAGAAGCATTTAATGTTTTTAAAAGATTGTTTCTGCGGATAAAGACCAAAACATAAAACTGACCCGCGTAGACGTCTACTCAGTAAAACCAGAAACTGGACTTACTTTTCTTCTCCAGTCAGCTGCTTCTCCAGGTCTCTGCGAGGCGTCTGTCCTCCAGAGCTGCAGACAGAAAGAAGACAGAGTCAATGTCCTGATGTATCTCAGTAATCCAGGTAGAACAAATCAAAAAGAAACAATCAGTAGGTCCTTTGGATGGTTCTTCTTTAGTGAAACGTTTCGTCTCTCTGAGTTCACCTGGAACTCATCAGACTGAACAAGTCTCTTGGAGGAGACATGAAACGTTTCACTATAGAAGAACCATCCAGAGGAACTACTGATTTTTATTTTAGAAGACAGAAACCAGGTCAGAGTCTCATCAGTCCTGAGGTTTCTGGTCTCTAAGTCCTATAGTTTCTGGTCTCTGAGTCCTATAGCTTCTGGTCTCTGAGTCCTATAGTTTCTGGTCTCTGAGTCCTATAGTTTCTGGTCTCTAAGTCCTATAGCTTCTGGTCTGTAAGTCCTATAGTTACTGGTCTGTAAGTCCTATAGTTTCTGGTCTCTGAGTCCTATAGTTTCTGGTCTCTAGGTCCTATAGTTTCTGGTCTGTAAGTTCTATAGTTTCTGGTCTGTAATTCATAAAGTTCCTTGTCTGTAAGTCCTATGGTTTCTGGTCTGTAAGTCCTATGGTTTCTGGTCTCTAGGTCCTATAGTTTCTGGTCTCTAGGTCCTATAGTTTCTGGTCTCTGAGTCCTATAGTTTCTGGTCTGTAAGTCCTATAGTTTCTGGTCTCTAGGTCCTATAGTTTCTGGTCTGTAATTCATAAAGTTCCTGGTCTCTAGGTCCTATAGTTTCTGGTCTCTAGGTCCTATAGTTTCTGGTCTGTAATTCATAAAGTTCCTGGTCTCTAGGTCCTATAGTTTCTGGTCTCTAGGTCCTATAGTTTCTGGTCTCTAGGTCCTATAGTTTCTGGTCTCTAGGTCCTATAGTTTCTGGTCTCTAGGTCCTATAG